AGAGAGAGAGAGAAAGAGAGAGAGAAGAGATAGAGAGAGAGATTGCTTTATTGCCTGGACAAGTGAATTGTCCAAGCTCTCACAAAATGCATGACCAACAACAACGGCAACAACAACAACAACGACAGCAACAACAACAGCAACAACAACAACAACAACAACAACAACAACAACAACAACAAAAACAAAAACAACAACAACAACAACAACAACAACAACAACAACAACAACAACAACAACAATAGCGAGAGAGAGGGAGAGGGAGAGAGAGGAGCAAAGTAGAGCTGCAAAACACCAAAGAAATTGCTTTCTTGCATTCAATTATTACACTGCTGAGCATGCACAGCATGGTGACAGCAGTTCGCACGTCGTCAAGCCCAATGATCCAATATGGAAGGCGTTTTTTATGAAATTTGACAAGGTTCCTCTTCTCTGATCAGCTTGAGACATAGCACATCGTAATCAGTGCCCAATTGTCCTTCGGATAAGCCTTACTTATTTTGACATTCAATTAATTTCCCTATATTTAAGTTTCCACGCTTTAGGCTTAACGATGCAAAGTACGAGGAACAGGAACGAACCGCGAGGGTGGTCAGTAGTTTTTGATCATGGCGCTAGTGGCAAGCCACGTCCTAGCTGAGCCGTGGTCTCTATGTTAATTCATGCCGCAGATGATGTGCAGCGGAGCAGTGGAGCAGCGAAGCCTCAGTGGAACCCCGTGTATAAGGTTCGCATGGTCATCAGGGGCCACTGTCAAACCCAATGACTTGTACTGACGTTTATTTTTATGATAGAGTTTTACGAGTCAGCAAAAGTGAAAAGAACGGAAGGGTTAAGACTAGCGAGTGTGCGGGAGGAACTGTGACACTATTAACAATTACAAGGGTTGTGACTGAGAGGAGTGTCATCATGGCTGATAATGGCGAGTTGATTGTCAGAGCCAGTTGTGGTGCAGAGATAGGGATAGACGAGAACAGCATCAATGCGAGTCGACTGCCCAGAGCCAGTTTGTGTGCTTCGCAGTTGGCGATACACGTTCGTTTTGAATGCTTGCATTCCCGTGCTGTGGGGAGGCTGGGACAGAAGAGCCGCGGGGAGGGAGTTCCAGTCTCTAGTACTGCAGCGTGGGAATGAGTGCTTCAATGCCAGCGGGACATATGCAAGCAGCTGGTTTTGGAGCTGGTGGTCGTGGCCAGTGACACTACCATGCTCGCTGCGAGTTCTGGGGCTGGATGAGGGAAATGGCGCGGTGGCAAGAGTAGACGCCATGGCTTCTACCCTTTCCTCAGTTATCAATGGTATATTTTCCCTCATCGGTCAGTGGAAGTATGTGGAGGAATCCTTAACCCACTTCAAAAGCCCAATAAACCTCTTTGACCACCATGCCATCTCCGGCCCATGGTGCTACTTGCATCCCTCAGGAAAGCAATATCGCTGCTCATAACACGTCAAAGGATCAGACCGAAAGTGGAGAAGTGCTGAGGCCCATAGCGGCTTCCGCAGTGGAAGGTCAACGTCCGGTGTCGTATGGGCGCACAAATGGCTGGCTGCTAAAGCCCAACGCTTTCACTGGGACATTCACATCCTCGGAATTGACCTATCAAAGGCATTCGACACTATCAGACGTGACCAACTGATGAGTGTACTAAAGGAAGTCGTGCACGCGGATGAACTGCGTCTGATACAATACCTACTCTCGGAAACAAAGGTCCATGACCGCCTTGGGAAAACGTCATCACCAACATTTCATACAACTACTGGCACACCGCAGGGTGACTCCTTGTCACCGGTCTTCTTTACGGCATATCTGGAAGCAGCATTGCGGCAACTGAGTTAGGAAGTAGCTCCCAGACCCCATGATGATCTTTAGCTGCCGTTCGAACTAATCTATGCTGATGACACAGATTTCGTAAGCACCAGTCGGCGGTGGCTCTCTCAGCTAGAAGCCACGGCGAGTCCTACCCTGGTGCAATGTTCACTCAACATGAATCATGACAAAACGGAGTACACAGAAATCACTAGACTCAATGATCGCAACAAAGAAGAATGGAGGTCAACACCAAAACTGGGAAGTCTGATTGGTAATGACGAGGATGTGCTGAGGAGAAAGCAACTGGCGACAGCTGCCTTTCGGGGCCTGTGCAACCTCTGGAAACGAGGCCAGCAGGTCAGCGAAGAGCGGCGCCTACGGCTGCCCCCACTTCCATCCTATATGCCACCGCCCCCGCTGTGCAGCATCTGATGGTTCTGTGGTATTCTGAAAAAAACAAAAAAACAAGCGTTCCTCGTTCGTGTACTGCTGTACAACTCTGGTACGTGGTCGGTTACCAAGACAGCTCAGGAGCAACTGGATTCTTTCCATCGGCGTCAACTGAGTAGTTTGGAGAACTTGCACAGAATCAGGAAGCTTGCAGCTGTAATCCATTGCCACGTGGCAACTATGTACTAATGAGAATGCGTCAAAAACGTTCAGGAACTGAAATGGCTCGCTGATGAAATCTTCAATAGCGTCTGCTCCAGAGCCGGGTCAGCTGGGTCAGCGACGATTTCGGGGGAACTTGGTCACGTAACTGTCCTTTGGGAGAAGAACACCAGGTCAATTGTGGCTCAGTCCTAAAACTATTTACGGCTCCCTGATGCAGTATAAAGCCGCACTTGAACGTACTCGGCTCTGACCCTGTTGCAAGAGTTGTGCCAGGTACACGTGTACCCCGTTGGTACAGCAGGCACTGAGAGTACGTTCTGGCCTTGTCTCTCTCTGTGGCCACTATCCAAAGCCTGCTGCAGCCAACTCAAATGTCAAAAGAAAGGTAGTGAGGCAAATAACGTGCAAGTCAAATGGAGTATCACAATGGGAACTTTCGAATAATAATAGGGAGAGGCGACAACTGCATTCGCGTGTTACCTAGATACAAGAGAGGTTAAGTTACACAAAGAAACACTGCTGAAGCACGATCCGTTGTGTGGAAGAGCACAACAGGGCAAGCAACATTTGTTTTTTCTTTTCCGCAAAACGGGCTGGTGCTATTTACGCAGCAAAACAAAGCGCATGACGTCAGTCTTGAATGCAGTACAAAGCAATGCAGTGGAGCGTGTGCGCTAGTTCGGATTGTTGCTAACAAGTACTAGCAAGAGTAGATAAACAAGAGTGTGCAACTCGCGGATGGGTTGGCCCACTTCGGAATTTTTTGTCGACGTAATCTTTTCGACGACGCACGTGCTGCGAGTCTTTCGGAAAGTTTTCCCTCGTGCTCTTGGCCGGGCTTTACACTACAAGGTCGTTGCCCAGCACGTGCTCTGCGACAAACTGTGCGTTTCTCTGAAAAAAGGTGACGTCAACAAAAAATTCCGCCGTGGGCGGGGGTATCTGCAGATTGTGCAGGAGAGATCCGGAGTTGCACACTCTTGTTTATCTACTCTTGCTACTAGTATACCTAGTACCCCACTATATCCGATGATTCGTTGTGTTGATGCTTCACAAAATGTGTTACTTTGCCCGTACAAGAGGCTCAAGGAGTTCATTCCAGGTCAAAGTCCAAGCCTCTTGAGTCTAGACACCGGTGTCCAGCTCCAGCTCCGTGCCCTCAACATTGCTCCCAGCGCACACATTCCCTACCTTGGTGTGGTGCTTGACAAGCACCTTTCCTTGACTTTAGAGAAAACGTCGTTGAACTAGAAAGGAAAGCGGGATGCAAGCTTGGGAGGTACCGAAAGGTACGGGACAACTTGACTATTGGTGCAAGAAGGGCGTTCAACATTTTTTATATTCAGACGGTATTGGAGTATAGATCTAACTCATTTTCCTATTGCCTTTTAGTCATACCTTTAAGGTCGTCTTGTCCGTTTAAGCAGCAGAGCGTTGAGCATAGTGTTTGGAACGCCATTGTTCTCAGATATCTCACTCATTACTGCTCGTCAGCGTATTATTCCTCTGTCTGCACGGTATCAGTTTAAACTCTACATCTTACTGAATCGTGCACTGCATCAACTAGCTCCTGTTTTTCTTCCTGAATGCTTTTGCACCCGCTCTGCTTCAACACACTCTAATTCTTCCACTTGTTCTCAGACTACCTTATCTCTTGCTCTACCCAAAGTCAAAATTCGTTATGATTTATTGTCAGTTGGTTTCCTAGGCTCCATGGAACGCGCGCCCCGCTGAGGTCCTTAAATGTTATTCATTGCACTTATTCCGCAAATCAGTACTTGTTTTCCCAGGGTGCCCTGTAAAAAGGTCTTAGGCCTGTATAAAAATTGATAAATAATTTATACAAAAGAGAAAGACCAAGGAACTACAAGTTACGCTATACTGTCCACTGACACCACCAGTTACTAAACAATCAGCTCATGCGATAACATTGCACGACACTGACCGACGGTACTGACGTTCTACAACTAACTGGCTAACAGCTCTAGCACATCTTGGATGCGCACTCCAACAGACTTGGAAGGTTCTAAGTTATTGAAATAACGTAAGGAGGGGAAGGTGAGCGCAACAAAGATAAGCACGAGCTGAAAGTCTCAGGTGTGAAGGACGTCGGCGGATGTTCATGCATGTCGATGACGATACTGGCAAGACCATTGGACAATACGGTCAAAGCACGATTCAAGAACGCAAAGCAACATTCCACATAACTTGTGTGGCTCAAAAGATGCGAAGATCAATGAAAGGGGAAACAAGTTTACGAATAAGCGACGCGGAGACAATAACTTTAATAAGGCAATAAGCAGAATCAGCATCTTTGATTGTTGTTCATGACTACGTCCAATGTCCGCTTCGCTGATTCTGCTTATTGCCTTCATAACAAGTTTCCTTGGTATGTTCAGAGTTTGCAACAACGGACAGGTGGTGAATATAGTAAAATTGCAGAATTGTGAATTGTAGAATGAACATTGTGCGAGATAGCTATCTGTGTGCAAGAACGGTTAGAGTTGAACCAAAGCCGGAGTAAGAGTACTTGTGGCCGCTACTACCCCGTAAATCCAGCGCGAGAGAGGGCGGACAACGAAGCAAAATCAGTTATCAATACAATAACAAGTGACAAAATGAAGTGATGTGCATGGCATGGCATGTGATGAAAATGCGTAGCAAAACAATACATGTGCACAAGAGCCGATTATGCACACAAAGCAAGGCTACACATGTTCATGCATATTCTATGCCGCTTTTTAGAGACCACCATCAGTAAGCACATCACAGAGAGAAAGAAAAGTTATTGAATTGAAGTGTAATAAAATAATAAAATGAATCAACACATGGATAAGAATTAAGAGGATCTCCCCAGAAGTATAACCAGGTAGATTTTAAGTAAGAACGTGTGACAAGTAGCTACAAAACAAAACGAACTCATTACATGTGCTGTGAAATTCAATGACGTCACATAGTACAGGCCTCTTTTACGGGCAAACAGAATACAATTGACAGTGGCATGGTGAATGATTAGAACACAACCCCAAAATATCAGAACAATTGTATGTGTGAAAAACGCAAAAAAAGAGAAAAAACAAAAACAAAAAACAACAAAAAAACGACGTCACATCCTGCTGACCATAATTATGTACAATTCCAAGATCGAGAATACATTCTTTTTCTAGCACTTTTTCAGGGCGGATTTTTTCAATCAATGCATTATGAACTTGCGTGGTTTGGAATTATGTTGCTATTTCAACGTTCAGTGTTCACACGTTTCATAGCACTGGTGGCACTCTTGCTTCCACGTCGCTCATTCTGTAGATTGCACTGGATCAACCATTACCTGTAGGTGCCTAGTATAAGCTGATAGCAAAACTCGATGGTGAGCTCAGGATGAGCATCGATGAAATCGAACAGCATCTCCCGCACTACTCTTCGGAATTCCTCCTCTCTTTCTGGACCAATTCCTGCGGGGATGAGTTGGCTGAGTGGGTACCGTGGTAGGATGGGTCGAGCAAACTCTGAAGTCTCTGAACGAATGTCTCGAAGCCACTGTAGGCCGTCTCTTGCGTTGGTGCCCATAGTTTAAGTGGTCGCCTGTGAGAAACACAAAAGAAGATAAGAGCAGAATGATACTGCTGACGGAAGGAGTGGACCTTGAAAGAACGAACGGGACAGCTATTGAGTGGGGCTACACAAATCAGCGGTGTTGATCCGACGCTACAGGCTCCGACTACCCATGGTCTCGGTCTCAATACTAGCAACACGTAGATCTACGTGAAGCACAGTGCGACAATACTTCCGAAACCTCACGTAAAGGCGCACTCAAGCACTTGAACGCAATCAAATGGTTCAACGCACTTGTTTTATAAGGGTAGAAATTAAAAAGGGGGGGGGGGGAGGGGAGCGTAGACTCTCTATTCCCCGATCGCGGACCTGTGGTGAACTATCCCCGTGCAATGTTTTGGGGTTCATTTTCCACGTCCCTGTAGACCTACACTTTGATTTGTCTGCTAGTAATAGAATTTAGTTGAAGACTCCACTGCAGCTGTACATGTGGTTGTTTTTTTCATGAAGAAGGCCGACAGCCCGAACGTGCTGGTTTTCAATGAATTGTTTGGAGGCGGTTCCAGTAAAAACAAGTAGCATGATAGTAAATACACACCTGACAATATGGTGAGAAATACACGCCTGCCTGCTAGAAATAGGTTTCCAATATGGCAGCCCGTGCTGATTCATCCCCTCAATCACTAAGGCCTGCTCATTTCCTCAAAGTTGCCTACATCAGTCTGAGTCATGTCTATGTTTCCTCTGCAGACAGACCTGACAACTTCACGGCCATACCATATTCGCTGCAATGTCATTGAGCATTTGCTCGTTTGGATTTGCTAATTCCAGCGAAATATGCAAACAAACGAACAAGGCCACTTCGTCGAACACAAACCCAACCTGACCCGGTAAGTCGCCAAACGCAAAACATCTCTAATGTCCAAGTGTTCAAAGTCCCATCAGCAGTACTCACGCTTGTTACTGGCGTCCACCAACGTGCTCTTCAGTTCTCCCGGATTTGGAATGCCTTCTCGTACACGATATGGGCAGAATAATAAAACGACCAATACTATAATTATATTCCTGACCAAAAGAATGTCTACATGCGCGGAACAGCGGGCAGAGCTTCATCGACTGCGATGGCAAAATGATTATGTGCTGAACGGAGAGGTCGTAGACTGCAATATAAGCTCTGTTCGATGAACACCGTGAAGTCTGACGCAATCTGAAGTGGGAAGCGCGCGAACAAGATTTTCTTATATCCCACGCATTGCGTGGAAGGATCTTTACGTGCCCGCTAGCTTTCGCGCTGGGTGTCTGTCGGTGTGATGATAAAGTTGTACTCAGCGCGACCCCATGCAGCAGAGAAATGATACAATAAAAGATTGTTGCGTGGATTAGTACACGGTGCTGGCAACTGAAATCCGACCACTGAGCGGTGCACTCACATTCTAGCGGTCTCTATTTCGTAGTTTTACTACCCCGTGTTAGGTCTTTGCGATGTAGCGCACCGCTCAGGGGTCGGATTTCAGTTGACAGCATTGTACTTACAGTGGAGGGCTGCATCCCACCAGGGCCGGGCACAACTACTTGTATGGATTCACAAGCGCGAGTTTCGACCAGGCTGATTTCTTGTACTGCCACGTTCAACGTCCTGACATCCAGCTAAACATTCAGTCAAACCTCTTTAGGATGAACACCAAGGGACCGACGGAATTTGTTCGCAATAACGTGAGTTCTTCATATCCATATCTTACACCCAGTGAATACACCGTGATTTATACAATAAAGTTACAAATATTAGTTCATCTTAAGCGAGCGTTTGTTTCATCAGTGTTCTTATTAACGAGGTTTCATTGAATCTCTAAATTAAACTAAATTTCCAGCCCAAGAAAACGTTCTTTTAAATACAACATCATATTCAAAGTGTTAGGAAGTTAGAGGCCACATGCCACGTACTGCTCTTTTCTCTCCGAAACTCAACACTTGCAAGCCAGGTTTGAAAGAAAGAAAAAATCATCAGTCACACCACCGGGACTCGAACCAGGGACCTTGCTATTCCCTGCTATCTGGCTTGCAAATGTTGAGTTTCGGAGAGAAAAGAGCAGTACCTGGCATGTGGCCTCTAACCTCCGAACACTTTGAAATTCTCCGTGAAGTCCAAATTTGAAATTGCAATCATATTCAACGTGATTATTTTTAAAAGTATCGATAAAGAAATCTCATCGTTCAGAAAAATTCGACTACTACATGTACAGTGTACATTCACACTTTCATCGCACTGGCAACACACTTTCCTACCACCCGTCACCCGTTCGTTAGATTGCAATGCATGGATAGTTACCTGTGGGCGCGGAGCTAAGCATTGAGTACAAGCTTCCAGCGAGTCTCGACTGGCAAGTTGGGATTAGCATCAATGTACTTAAATACCACCTCCCGGCTGGAGTCTGGGGGCTCCTTCCCCTTGGGATTAGCCGGTATTGGGATTGGGTCGCTGGCTGGCCGCCGCGGTGTAATGGGCGCAGTCCGCCTTGAACGATCCCCAGCTGCTGGACGTGACTGGTCGCTGTTTCCTGTGCTGCTGCTGTCCATAGTAAACGTGGTCACGTGGTCACCTGTGAGAAGCACTAAAGCCAAGTACATGTAGCAGCTCGTGACAGTTTTTTGTTGGGTCTACGTAACCAACACCTCTTTATTTACTTTATCAAAGTAAATGAGAGATGAGAAATGGGAGGTGGGTGGGTGAAACACAATGATCTGACAAGAGTGATCCGCACACAGAACGAATCGAAATATAATACACACTACGAGCAATGTCAATCAACACAACAGACATACGACGACCCCGAGGACGACCACGTCTGAGATGGATCGACGTTGTCAAGAAAGACTTACAATGCATTAATCTGTCGCTTCTGGATGCTGTGCAATCTGCTTCTGATAGAGCTGCTTGGCTCGAAATTGTTAACAGATGCGTTGACCTCATGCAATGAGTGAAATGCGAACTGTCATTATTATTACGAGCAAGGAAGAATGATTGTCGCAGAGAACGGATCGAAAATATATAGCAGAGCAAACTCTAGCAAGACATGCAACGATGCATGCCACCCACGTTAAGGTACGAGCAAGCGCCATCATAACGCAGCCACACGCCTTCCACATCGGAGGCGAGCGACACGAGTGAACGCCAAACTTTAGTATGACACGTTGATTGCCTACGACGCATGCCGCCTACGTTGAGCGTCGCGCATGAATGAATGTCGCGTTGAGTGTCACGTTGTATGACACATAGAATGCCACGATGCATAGAGTACCATGTGAGCACGTACAGTGCACGTTCATAGCAGCATAGTTTGAGTGGTAGCACGAAGCAGCCGCGTGCACCCATTAATCTGCATTATTACTATAATGCTACAGTCATTAACTACAACACACAGCAGCTTGCGGTTAGGAGGGTGCTGGCCAGCGAAGTGAGAGGCTACAGAGAGAGCAGGATCTTGGCGGAGCCAAGAGGATAGTCACGTCCAAGGGACGAAGACCGAGAGCCCTGAGTAGCCGGAAATGACCATGGCCCATTGTGGCCAGCAAGCCTCGTATCGAAGCAACCGTGAGCGGGATTAAAGACATAGACACTGCCGGAGCAGGATCTTGGCGGAGCCAAGTATCTACAAGAGTCTGCGTCCGAGGGACGGCGACCGAGGGCCCTGAGTAAAGAGAGGGGTCACTGCCGGAGCAGGATTTTGGCAGGGCCAAGAGAGAGGTCAGACAAGAGTAATATGTAGACACTGCCGGAGCAGAATGTTGGCGGAGCCAAGTATCTACGAGAGAGGATTCAGGGTCGGCCGGGTAGACACTGCCGAAGCAGAATGTTGGCGGAGCCAAGTATCTACAAGAGTCTGCATCCGAGGGACGGCGACCAAGGGCCCTGAGTGAAGAGAGGGGTCACTGCCGGAGCAGGATCTTGGCAGGGCCAAGAGAGAGGTCAGACAAGAGATATACGTAGACACTGCCGGAGCAGAATGTTGGCGGAGCCAAGTATCTACGAGAGAGGATTCAGGGTCGGCCGGGTAGACACTGCCGAAGCAGAATGTTGGCGGAGCCAAGTATCTACAAGAGTCTGCGTCCGAGGGACGGCGACCGAGGGCCCTGAGTAAAGAGAGGGATCACTGCCGGAGCAGGATCTTGGCAGGGCCAAGAGAGAGGTCAGAGAAGGGTCACTGCCGGAGCAGGATCTTGGCGAAGCCAAGAGAGGGGTCACTGCCGGAGCAGGATCTTGGCAGGGCCAAGAGAGAGGTCAGAGAGGGGTCACTGCCGGAGCAGGATCTTGGCGGAGCCAAGGGAGGAGTCAGAGAGGGGGCACTGCAGAGAGAGATCTTGGCGGAGCCAAGAGAGGGACGAGGACAAAAAGCCCCCTGGGTAGCTAGGCATTTAAAAATGTGTGTGCATTGAGACAGCATGTGGTAAAGAGGACACTGACAAGAGTTCAAGCAACACGGATGAGAACCAGTAAGACAGTTACCTTGATGATCTCCTTGGCGGTGTCCCTCATTTCATGCCGGATAAATGCTCGTGCAGCAAAGGGAGCTTGCCCAAATAGAAGGACGAACTTTGCTGCGGTGATTGGCTAGACCATGGTGTCAGGTCGCGCCGCAGCTGTGGGAGCAAAGGTTCTGGTGTCATCCAACTTGGTCCGGGCACGGAGCATCGATGGTATTGGAGGTGACTGGCAGGTGTGATGCTCGAAACAGTAAGTAGTACTGGACACAAGTAGAGGGTGCAGATGAGTGCCATGACCAGAGAAGAACTGAACGGCTTGTGCCAACCTTCAATACGTTGACAGAGTCTGGTGCCACCAGCTCAGGGTCGTCCTTGACTGAGGTTGAGAGGTGCAGCATTCTGTGAGATGAACTCAGATGTGGCCTTGACAAGGTCAGACAGGCAGGGCATAATAACGTATGGGTGGGTAGCGAATGTGAGTTGGCCTAGAAGGCAGGCGAGTAGTTCGTGCTTGAGGACGCAACGCCTGTCAGTGTGGCAGAGACTAAATGACGTCGGGCCAGAGAGGTTGAGGTTATACTGGAAAACTACATAAATGGTTGGACAATAGTGGCCCAAGCAAATCTGCTGTTGGACTGAACACTTGAATACTTGCAACACGTCAATTGCTGGTTATACACTGGTTGGGATGGCAGTGTGAACTGCAACAGTGCTAACCCCCATACTAACTGGAGGAGACTGCAACAGCATGGGCATAAGCCAGCCTGTGAGTACGTGGGTGGTGCACCTCGAAAGTGACAGGCACTAGCACCAGATTGATTGATGAGCTATGGATGTGTGTGTGTGGGAGTTCCTTACCCCACCAATGACAAGTAGACCAAGTAATACTAATAGCAGTACTTGATGGATTGATGACAGGGCTGTGCCTGGGTGCAGACGAAGAACTGGATGCTGCTGGTCGAAGCATGCTCCAAGTATGTACACAGTACTGAGTAACTTGGTGTGGAGTTGCATAGCCTGGGGTTGCAGAACTTACTTTGAAGAAGAAAGATAGATTATCGCTGGCAAACAGTTCCCTTCTGGCAATGCTAGGGCCAGTCGCTGGCAAACAGTTCCCTTTAGGCAAGGCTAGGGCCAGGGCGTTGTAAACTCTTGGCCAGCACAATGCCTAGCCCAAACGACTGCATGGGGCTAAACGGTTGTGTGTTAAATGGACCAGCTATCATACCGTCCTTGCAGCAGCTTTGGAGACAGTCGGAAATATATCAGCTGCCACAGACTGGGCTCAATGATGTCCCATTTCAGTGATGGGTCGGCAGCAGCCTTGATGCGGAATTGACAGGACAGCAATTCCACTATCCTGTGCGAAGCAATGTCGACCATGATCTGGACCAAGACGGTGAAGGCCTCAACCCATGTCGCAAGATCATGAACATGCCTACTCTTGGCCTTGCTGGGAGTAACGCTGACTCGCGTTCTCTGCTGCCTGCTCCGCTCACCGCGCTCGGGGTAGAATGGCAGGATTCAGCGTGGTGAAGTACACTGAAACAGGCGATCGGCGAGGAATTATTCAAACCGAAGAGCGAGCAAAATACAAACTGTGAAAACACTGAAACAGGTAACCTGGCTCATGATCGTGTAGGCTTCCACCCACGTCGCAAGTTCGTGAACGTGCCTGCTCTTGCCGCGGGCAGCGCCGTCCTCGACCACCCGCAA